CAAGCTTAAATAATTTTTGAGAAATTTTAAAAAAACTTTTTAAAAATTATTTTAGCAGACAAATTTGTCCGCTAGACAGTTTAAGAGATAATGAGATTATGTGCTAGCTCAAAACCTTGCCTATGAAACCACTTTTTGTGTCAAAACAAATTCTTCGTCAAGTTTAGATATACACTGTTTTTTAATCTTATCATAAACTTAACCCTAGTGTTATTATTTAATTTTCACATTACAAATCTGATCGGCTGACCTTTAGAGGTGTTCTGGTGTAGTTATTTGGCTTATTTTGGCATAATCATTCATGTCATCAATACAGTAACAACATGCATGTGAACTATTAATATTTTGTGTCACTTTATATATACGTTAGAGTGGACGGGGAAATGTGATATGCATATATGTGCATATGTAACATGTTTTTCATGAATCATATGTGGACATATGTGCGTGCGTATATAGATTTCATTCAAATTCTTTGCCAAAAGAAGGTATTAATATTTATTTTAATAAATTGAAACTATCTGAAATTGGTTTCACCTTTAGTATTAGTATCTAAAATTAGTTTCACCTTTTAGCATTAGAACCTGAAATTAGTTTTACCATTTAGCATTAGAATCTGAAATTAGTTTCGCTCTTAGAAAAAATCATCAATATAATCATTAGAAGACCAAAGTTCTCTCGAATTAGTTTCGCTCTTAGAAAAAATTAACAATGTAAAATAGAAAATTAATTTTACTTTTTGTACAACAATATAAGTTTTAAACTTGTTAGTTAATGTATAATAAAGTTCAAAAAAAAAAATTGCGAATTCATTTTTTTAATTTTCATTTTTCAAAAATGATTACACCCAATGACCGCGTTAACGAAAATGAAGAGTACAAAAAAATCTTTTACATTGAAGGTGAAAGTTTATATTGTACTTTCTGTAAATGTATCATAAATTATAAAAATAAGTTTTTACTTGATCAACATCTAAAAACTGATAAACATAAAACCAACAAACATAAAGCCAAAGGAAATCCACAAGAAATTAATAAACCGGCTCCTAATATTAATACTTGTCGAGAAGAACGTGATGCAATTAATATAGATTTAATTCACGCTTTAACTCGATCTAATATTCTACTTGAGAAAGTTGATAAGCTTAAACCATTTTTCTTGAAGTACTGTAAAAACGGTAAGTTAATTTTGTTAGTGAAGATTCTTAATTTGTTAATTAAATATTAATTAATTATTATTTGTATAATAGGTGGTTCTATCGTTGAATCTACTCAATTGCATGGTAGATACTTGCCCATTGCATTTAATTCAGAAATTGAGAATTTAAAGCAACTCTTAGTTGGAAAACGAATTTCTATTACTATCGACGAATCACCTGATATTTGTGGAAGAGCTGCTATAAATATATTATTTAGTTTTTATAATACAACCAACTAGTTAAAATTGAGCATTTAGATGTTGTTAATAGTACTACTATCGCACAATTAGTAATAAAAACCCTCCAATTTTATAATATTTCATTTGAAAATATTATTTTTTTTATTTCGGACAATGCTTCCTATATGTTAAAAGCATTTAGTATTTTATCTCCTTTAATAACCCAAATGAAACATAATCGTTGTTTGGCACATATATTAAATTTGGTGGGTGAAACGTGGGTGGGTCATAAAAATTTTAAATTATTAGACGACGTGGTAATGCAAATTAAAACCTCATTCATGCATAATAATACACGCAAATGAAGATAGATTTCTTTTTTAAATTCACAAAATCTTGAAATATTGTCAACCTTACCCCTATTTCCTGTTAAAACAAGATGGAATTCTTGGTTTAATTTTGTTTTTTGGATCGACAAATATATTCCTCAACTAAAGGGTTTTGATTTAAACGAGGAGCTTATTAGTAACAGTAATAAAAGCAAGGCAGTGCAGAAATTAATATCTATTTTTAAAGATCCTGTACTTGTATCCGAATTTGAAATTTTATCCGCATTTATCACGTTTAATGCACAAAGGTAATAATAACAGGTTTTTTTTTATCTAAAAAAAAATTATTAATATATTTATTTTTCATATGTACATATGTACGTATAGCCTTTTTAATGCATTAGAATTTTTAAAATTCGCAATAAACCTGTAGCACCTTCCGTATCGAATCATTTAATACAACTTCAATCTGGTACCGTTGATCCATCTTTAAATGATAAAATACTAACTATATTTAATATATCGCATATAGATTCTTCACGATATATAGCCAGGTTCTGGGAGGCATATCAGTCAGTATTAAATAAGTTTAAAAAACACATCGATCAACATCCTTCTTTACCTTTATTTAAGGCAATTCAATGTTTTGATTCCCGGTATTTTCATTCACAACAAAGTCAACAAAATATTAATTTGTACAAATGTATTCCTGAGCTTGAAAATCCTAATAATGTTATTATACGTGAATAGAGAGTTTATTGTAAAATAGATGAAGCTTTTACCTATGATAATGATTTCAATTTAGATTTTTATTGAAAAGAAAAAGCTACGCACCTTCCTAATTTGTCGCAAATAGCTTTAGTTTATATTTGGCTTCCTGTTTCGGGAGTTGA